ATAATAAATCTTATTTATCACACATAATTAATTCTATCAAATAGAACTCTCCTTCAACTTCATGAATTAAATATGTTCAATCTAATTAATATTTAATCCATTTTCAGTATTACTAATTAAATATTATTTAATCCAATTAATAATATTTAATTCCTTCTAATAATTCAATCAGAAGGTATAATCACTTGTTGGGTGACCCATAGGGTCTTACATATTAAGCACTAATCAAATTAAGGTCTTAGTAGAATCCCTAGACGATTTACCACACAAACTTAATATATAAGAACATTTGCGAGGACTATTCAAACTCCCTGTAATATAGAGCTCATAGTGATACGGTTCTTTCATTCAACGAACATTCAACTAAGTCTAGAACATGATATTGTGTGTATTCCAATAACTTAGTTTCTGTCTCTCAATCTTTCTAGATGATCCATAACGATCATATTCGATATCCAAAATGAATATATCTTTGCATTGGCCAATGACCTTATGATCTATCTAGATATGAAAAGTATAATGTTCTCTCTTAATCTATTATGAGAAATGAATCCTTTCTTGGCTCAACTACTACTCCATGTGCTTCATGATATACCCAACACATGCCGTATCTACCCCGATTGGAGTGCAAGCGTTGGTCATGTACAAAGTACATCACTTAGCACATGTAATACGTATTGACCTCAAGTCGGAGGACTATTACACTACTATATACGCCGATAATCCCATAGACATATGAATAGAACTTATCAAATGGTTTCTCGATGGGTATGCCAATATTCTCCAAAATATCTATGTGACCATCATGAATTACAGGAACTCATAGTTGTGAGATCAACTATATTTTCTAAAAGTATGATGCAGTCCACATACCAATCTTATCGTATTCATCAATATCACATTCTTGATGATCATTGATTTGGGCTATTTTAGGACCTTATGTTATATCATATAAGCTCCCGCTTACTTATCAACAACATAAGTCCAAGGGAACACAATTATGAATAAGATATTGGCAATCAAAATACTTAATCATCAATGTGTATATATCAAATATATAAAACTGAATGTGATCAAGTACATATATCTCTAAAAAGTGATTGTCGCTAGGACATATATACTAACAATCTTCCACTTGGCCTAGTGCCAATCACCAATGCGTCTAACACCTGGACTCTCAAAAGCCTACAATGTTTCTCGCATCTCAAAGGTTTGGTGAATGGGCTAGCCAAACTGTCCTCTACGGGAAGACATTCTATTGCAACTTCTCATCTTGCTATTTGTTATCAAAACATGATAGCACACAGATATTTTCTAGTTCCTTACTTTGCATCTTGGTTCCTTAGCTTGTGCAAATGCACCGGTACAGTCACAATAACAATTATTGGATAACTGTCGCTAGGAACTACCCCTATTTCTTTAAGGAACTAATGTATCTAAACGCTTACCTATGTTGCATCAAATGCAACAATTTACTAGGCTCTAGTTGTCAAATTTATAGTAGTTTCTTACTTGCAAATCTTTCAGCACTACTACTACATTGAGACTAAAAACATATACTGACTGTGACTCGTAGTCTTTATTATCATACATGAAACTAGTGCTAGAATAATTAAATTCTACTCGTTCTTTTTGTCTACCATAGACAAAAAGATATTCATGAAGACTTTGGGTGACCATTCTTTCACGGACTTCAATGAGGGATATCATTCTCAATGATCAACATATATGATTATAAAGACCACATTATCCTTGTTGCGCACTCTAAATACGCAAGCACCCTCATTTCATTTGATGTGGTCAAACGATTTGACTATTTCATCAAAATTAATATTTCAACTCATAGAGGCTTGTTTTAGCCCATAAATAGATTTCTCTAATTAACATGGTGATTTAGAATTTGACTTGAATGCAAAAATATTCAGGTTGTACCATGTACACCTCCTCCTTGAGGTTTCCATTAAGGAAATGGTTTTGACATCCATTTGTCAAACTCATAATCATAGTATGCAGCTATCACTAGCAAAATCTGAATGGACTTGAGTTTTGCAACTCGCGAATAGGTATCACTATAGTCAATTCCTTCTCTTTGACTATAACCTTTAGCCACTAGCCTAGCTTTGTATTTTTTCACCTTACCTTTTGCATCAATTTTCTTCTTGAAAATTCTTGCATCTAATGGGTCTAACCCAACAGGCAAGTCAACCAAGTTCCATACTTGATTGATATACATCAAGTCCATTTTAGATTTCATGGCATCTCGCCACCTCTCTCAATCAACATCTAATATTGCTTTAGTGTAGGTCTTAGATTCATCCTTATCAGGAATCTCAACATCATCATGATCCTCCATGAGGAAGTCAAACCTAGTTAGTTCATGACGAATCCTTGTAGACCCACAGAGTTGAATGTTTTACATTTTGTTCAGGTTGTTCATTCTGATTGTGAAGAGGTTCTCTTTCATTGGACTATCCAATTCTCGGAGAGTTTTCTGGTGCTACACTTTTAAGTGTTTCCAGAGAAAGAGAAGTGGGTGCAGAAGGAATGACAACCATGTCATCTTTTTCTCTAATAAGAATCACTTGCTGGTGTGAGATTATTCCTATGTTACTCCCACTAGCTGAAAAACATCCTCCTAGACATGCTTTCACTCAATTCTCCCACTGAATCCTTGTTTTGACCATCTAACAAGTCTTCGTCCTCTATGTTATTTTGTGATTCTTGAACTTCATCAAGTTCTATCCTCCCACGATTACATTCCTTAAAGACCAAGTCTTATACTAGGAATCTCGCTTGTCTGGAAATAATGATTTTATATCCCCCAGGAAGATAAATTAGTATCCTATAGTTTCCTTAGGATACCCCACAAAATAATATTTCTCACTTCTAAATCCCAACTAGTCAATGTCCATTTTCTTCACATATGTAAGGCAATCTCACACTTTAATATGTGTAAGAATAGGCTTCTTATTACACCATAACTCATATAGTGTCTTTTGCACTAACTTAGATGGAACTCTATTCCAGAAGGTATATTGAGGTTTCCAATGCGTATCCCCAAAGAGATGTTGGAAGAGACGTGGAATTCATCATGGACATAACTATGTCCAACAAGGTTCTATTTCTCCTTTCAAAAACCTCATTCAATTGAGGTGTTCTTGGAGGAGTCCATTGTGACTGAATTCCTTGACCTTTCAAGTAATCAAAAAACTCCTTACTCAAGTATTCCCCTCCACGATAAGATCATAGAGTCTTGATACTCTTGTCAAGTTGTTTCTCTACTTCAACCTTATACTCCATGAATTTCTCAAAAGCTTCTTATTTGTGTTTCATAAGATACACAAAACCAAACCTAGAGAAATCATTAGTAAAATGATGAAGTAAGAAAATACTCCTCTAGCTTGAGTTGAAAAATGTCCACACACATCTGTGTGAATCAACTCAAGCACTTCTTTGGCCCGCAATCCTTTTCCAAGAAAAGGTTTATTGATCATTTTAGCTAAGAGACATGGAATCACAATTACCATTGCATTCAAAATCAAATGGTGTTAAGTAATCTAATTTACTTAACCTTGTTATTCTTGTTTCACTAATATGGCCAAGTCGCAATGTTAAAGATAGGTGGTATTTTTCTGATTATTTAACCTTGGTCTCTTATTTTGTATATTTAATATAGCCTGCCTACAAGTAAGAATATATAAATCATTCATAAGATGGGCATTTTCATACACAATGCCATTTTATCAAAAACAACAAGTGTTATCAGCAAAATGGAAGGAAACCCCTTAATGTCTAACATATGAATGGAAATTATATTCTTTGTTATAGAATGAACAAAATAACAATTATTTAGTTCTAGACTATAACCGCCGGGTAAATCTAATTTATAAATGCCTACACGCCTAGCATCAACTTCACCTAACCTAACTGCTTACTGTCACTTAGACTTTACACATTATTCCCATGTGTGAGCCACACGTTGTATTTAATACAAAACAGTGAGAGTTAGTTATAGACATATTAATATTAATGACAAAAATACCTAAGCTAAAAGCACTCGCTGTTTTGGCTAGATTAGCCCTACATAGCTTAAGATTTCTCTTCCGATGCCCTCTCTTTGCTGTAGAGGCATACATCCTTTAGTACCTTAGATTTCTTTTGAATCCTACCTTTAGGTTTCAAAGCTAGAAGCCTAGGTCTAACCTTACTTCTCTTCTTCTGCTTGTTCTTTCCCGTAGGAAAAGATTCAGCAGTAGAGCTTACCTTAGCAATGTCATTCTTCTGAATGTCCATGTCAAACATAACTAATTCAGAAGAGTTGACATTAGGAACCTCGGGTACACATGTGTCAAACACATTCTCAATATTTTCTTGCCTAAACACTAAACGCACATTTTGTTCGAAGTCTAGAAAGTCTTGTCGAGTCAGATTGCATGTATCCAAGATACTTCTCAATGATAAATTAGACATCCTAAAAGCCTAGAGAAGTTCAAATAGAACGGGAATTAATATCATATATTAGTTCCTATGATCACATTTAGTTAACTAAATAATATGGATTTTTAATTATTTAGCTCTCACTATTTTGACATGCTCTTTGACCCCAATAAAAAGAACAAAGATTGTTTTTACAATCATAGTGGACAAGATCCACATTCATACTATTACAGTCCCAACTTGGGCTGATCACTGTAATAATATAATGGATAGGTCCCTAGACCAATTGCGTCCAAGCAACTCTTGGTTGATCAATTTTTAAGTTGATCGACACTCTTAAATTAACACTAACGCTTGGACGACTCCAGCTAATTTAAGTAAACCAAAACCATCGCATGATCACAAACATATGCATCTATAAATTAGTTCTATATTTTGTCGAATGGAATACACACTTTGGTGAAATATTCTTCAACGAAAAAATATATCTACTAATTTAATTATGATGAGTGATGTCGTTTATCCTAAATAAGACTTAAATTTTAATTTATGAGGAACATTTAGCAGGGTATTAAATTACTTTATTTAATCAAGATGCAACAACATATTATCAAATCTATCATTATATAAAAGCAAAAGGTTTTTGACACTATTTTGAACAGTTCCCGCCTAGAAAAGTCTCAATCTACAAACAGTGCAAGTAAAAAAGAAAAATAAGAAGACCCCAATTAATACGGAGTATAAAAAATGTATTGTAAAAGTTGAATAGACAAATCATCTACAGTAAAAAGTGTTCAACAGTACAAAGAATTAAATGGCGATTGAACTTTGCATCTTCCGCTTTAATTGCACCTTGGTACGGAGTAGTAAAAACAACAGGGTCAGTGAACTCTTGCCAACTTTTCTGCGTATTGAGATGTGTCTTGGTATATGTGTACACAACATTTCTCTACAAAAAATAAGAGTAATAAAAAGTAATAAAACTATCAGCCCTTAAACTCTTGACAGCCTGTCCTCGGGAGATGTGAATCTTCTTCAGGAAGGTTTATCCGTTTTCCCTATAAATACTAGCAACTTCAATGCAAATGGACACCACTCAATGCTTCTACCTCTTCTATTTCATTTAAAGTTTTGAGCTTAACAGAAATATTATCATCCCTGTATATACAATGTATGTATGTATTCTATGAAATTGTTCTTTTATTAATGAGAAATGGAAAGTTCTTCATGAATGATCATCCATTTATTCCCTATCAATACTAGCAGCTAAATGCAAATGAACACCACTCTTAACACTTCTACCTCTTCTCTTTTACTTAAAGTTTTGAACCCGCAAGAAATAATACTATTCCAATACACACACACACACATATATTCTATAAAAGTTGTTTTTCTGTTAATTAGAAATGGAAGTAAGGCAACTCCAACTATTGAAAAGAGATTTCCTACAGTTTTTTATGTCTAACATACAAAGAAACAAGAACCTACCCAAAAAAGGTCCTTTCACTCTCCACAACTAATTCCTAGAGCTAAAGAGACTTTGTATCTCAAGTAAAACCAAACAGAGGGCTTTGGTCCTAAACTCTATCTTTTTAATCTGCACTGATTCAATGATGAAGGAAATTTATTTCAGTCAACTGCCTATACACAACCAAAATTTTGATACAGGTCACCAACATCATACAAAAACGAAAAAGCACAGTATTTTGAGCTTTTATTTTTTCCATGTACTCAATGTTTTTCAACTAAAGTGCAGCCTAAATTCAACTAATTAAAGTACAAGAAAGTGTGTGTTGTGTTTTACTAATTCAAAATAACACTACTCATTCATTCATATCAAACTACCGTGAGTTCACCTCCATTAGTTTGATATGCAAATATGTTGAAAGGGCAGCACTTTATTTTAAATAAGGAGTACTACGTAGTCTAAAAGATAGCAACAATATATATAAACAAGGGATGCAGTTTTGGCATGTGTTAAAAATATTAATGACATCAATCTTTATGAAAAACGGTGTGTAGAATTGATATTGTATCTTGAATTGCAAAATATGTAAATAGTGTGTACTGTAGTAGGGTATAATTGATATTGTAGCTTGAATTAAAACATGTATTTGATTGATAAGTGCTAAAAAATGTGCAAATTAAAATTAAAATTTTAATATTGATGGAAAAATCGAATTTCATCTTACTTTGCTTCATAATGGACATTTCCAAACGTTTTCATTTCATGTTTACTATTGATAGCTTAAATAAAACTGTAATAAACTAATTTTCAAAAAACAACTAATTTGAGTGTGCATGTTCAAATTCTTATTATGATTTTTTTTTACAAAAACCCTGGCGTTTCATTCAATTTTCGGAGCCACAAGCATCCAAGTTTGTAGGAGTGTGTGTTCAAAAACACTACACCCGATGTGCACATAAGTGAAATTGTAGTTGAGTGAGCAAGTTAGTTTAGTTTCCCATCTAACATATCAATGAAAATGTCAATAAAACTTCATTGACGGGATGGTGAAATCCTGCCAGCAATGTATTTCACTTGAAGTTATGGAAAAATAATCAGAAATAGCAACTATATATACATAAACTATAATATAAATAAAACTAAAAGTAATGTTACCGATGTGGAGATATGGGTTCATCTTTAAGACCATATACGGAGATGCTATTTTTTAGAGTAGACATGTCGAACATACATGAGTTTGTAAGGCGTATGACCTCTGTAAAGGATCGGTGTTGCTTCGATTCCCACTGTCAACCTTAAGAATGGGTTTATTCTTGGTGTTTATGGATGAGGAGGGTCGAATTATTAGGTGTGTACGGTGAAGAAAACTATCCATCATGCTGCAAATATGTGAAATAGGAAGTATAATTTCAATGGGGAAGGAGGTGGGCAAATTGTGTTGTGGCTGAACCGAGTAGGGAGATGCAGCCGATCGAATAATGTGGGCGGTGGCCGATTGTGAATGATGAAGCTGAAAAGATGTACCCTAAAAATGCCTATGTATATATAGTGGATTTTTTTGTCTTGGCCTACAACTTTCATGGACTGCCTGATTGGGCTTTAATATAATGGGCCAACATTTATAAGTGATCTTCAACACAATATTACAAATAATGATGTTGGGTTGCTAAAAATGTTTTTTTTATGGTGGCTGCTAAACATATTTATTACTCGAAAGGATAGCATAAGTATTATCTATACACTACCGAAAGCCAAAAATATGATTTAATTTAGGGGAAATTATTATTAGCCCCCTGAGGTCATATCATAATTATTAATGCAATCTTGCATTTTCAAAAATCAATTAGTTTCCCCCTAAGTTTTGATCATTCTCACTATATACCCCCTCACGTTAATATTTGTTAAATTAAATTTAATATACCTCTCAAGTTCAATGAATGTTGTATTTAAAATTAATTTTTAAAATATAAAACAATTTATCATCATAATTATAAGTCATTGTTGATGATCATTTGTTTTCTACTTAACTACTTGACCGTGGAGTAACAATTAATAAGAGTAGTTAAGGGGAAGATTCACGAGTCATATTAATGGGATACATAAAAAGAATTGTTTATAAAATGTGTTATCAAAATTCGAGGCATTTCTTCATTATGAATATACAAGTCTTATTTGTAATTCATTCGGCTGAATTAATCGCAATGACATTTCTTTCGTGTGTAGCAAAGAAGAAACACTAAGAATTGGTTATCATTCCATGACCTAAAATATAGGTTTAATATCAATAAGGGACCTAAAAGACAAAATGTGTGATGATTATTCCAATTATTCCATGATCTGAATAATTGAAAGCAGTCAATCTAAGACCTAATTTGTGTTTTAAATTTTTTATTAACTAGGATCAACAACAATGACTTATAATTATGATACTAATTTGTGTTTTACATTAAAAATTAATTTTATAGACATTTTAAATTGAATTTAAGAATCATATTAAATTTAAATTTAACAAATATTAACGTGAGGGGGCAAAGAACAAGAATGATCCAAAGTGAGGGGGTAAGTAATTGATTTTTTTAAATGCAAGGTTGCATTAATAATTATGATATAACCTCGGGGGGTTAATAGTTAATTTCCCTTTAATTTAAAATTGGACAAAAGGTGATCAATCATTCATTATAAAACAGCAAAATGTTTTTGGAACAATGTTCTCGCTTAGAAAGGTCCATCCGTGGATAAGTCCATATTTGTCTGATCCATAGACAAATATATCTTCTTTCTTTTGTAAATACTTTATAATGTAAATTACATATATAACTCGGTAAAAAACATACACATGTATTACTTCCAAGTTGACTAATTTTACATAAATCGTTGGTCTATAAGAGAGATTTCGAAAAATGATTTTCCTATCCCATGACGCATGCAATAGAATCAAAGCAAACTTATAGATCTGACATACAAAAGTGTACATTGAAAGTGAGGGTGTAACAAATGCAAGAACTGAGTTTAATCGTGTGGAGGTCACAACTCCGTGTGGAGCTCAACCGTGAAGCTTGCTATGCTCTTGGGCAACTAGATGACGATAATGCATATATATATATATATATATATATATATATATATATATATATATATATATATATATATATATTGTTGAAATATCAGATGCAAGTCATAGGGCTTCAGCCCTTTCTATGAGGATCTTAGTTGCAATATTGTTGTTGTCAGAATCACTATGTAAGCCAGAGAACGTTTGGAAAAAATGTTGGAAACTTCTCGCAGAAGATATACAATATAAACACCGTTTGATGTTTCAACATCGAGGTATCACATCTTGAGATAATTTCACATTTGATTTTCTAATATATGTTATTATTTATAATTTATTAATGGCAAATTATTCCATTTTGTATCACTTATTATGTGTACTCTGTATTACAACGGGGTCTATACAATGTTTTTGTGATATCACGTACTGGTGCTAATTCTTTTCATATAGTTTTAATATCACTCTTTGGAAGTAATTTTGGAACAAAATATCCCCGTGAATTCCCCTATCGCACAAGTGATTTATTCAATGTGATGATGAAAGAGCACCTAGAAGAGACCACCAATATAATATGGTCTATAAATAAGTGCTTTGTATGCATTCTTAATTAGGCTCTACAAAACCTGATGCTCATTATATCCATTTTGCCTCAACTTTAATCCATTTTGTATTGTTGAACTATCACATTCGTTTCTTAACTCACCTCATGTTATTTAAGAATTTCTTTTTGTCTTGCATTTTTATAATAAGAGTAATGTACACTTATTTTGAAATGATCACCCACCGTGCATCGCACGGGTACCATACTAGTAAAATGTTAATGAGATCTAACTCAAACATATAAAATTAAGCATGTACGGGGTAATATAAATCTAATTTATAAACATACATAATAGTCAACAATTAACCATTAATATAAGCATGCTTAAATAACAATGATACGTAGTAATAAAAGTTTATCAAAATTAAACTTATTTAATCTCAAAGATTATTTAATCTAATTAAAGTAAGCTTAATTTTAATATTTAAGTGCGAAAAAAAATAGGTTAGTATTCGAACTTTCACAACTCTCACATTCTAATCAAATTAGGAGTGTGACTCCTAATAAGAGTTTTACCTGAAAACCAAGACCAATTCCTTAGAGCAACCATTTAAAAAAAATCCAAAATTTCTAAAAAGGACCTCGAGCCCTAAATCTGAGTATAGCGTTGGAAGAGAGAATCGTTGAACACATGTCCAAATTTTCTCGCCGTAGACTTCGCTTGTTCTTCCGCTGCCTATCATTCATCGTTCGAAAGTCGGCCGCCATGATAGCTCACAAAGAAGATAGTTCATCGGTTGAAAAACGCAGACCGTCACTTGGTTACGGCTCTCGAACGCATATGATGAACGAAAGATGGAAAGATTATCCAGTTGCGTCGAACACAAATTTTGTTTGGATTTTAGATTCTGATTTAAAAATAAACAAAACCTATGTACATTCTAAAATAAAAACAAAAATTGCAGCAAAACTCCATAGTTCACTGCTTGAGAAAGAACGATGCTTTGTTGCTAATTTTCAAAAGTCTACGCAGATAGATTTAATTTGATTTGTTTCCAAAACAAATCTCCATTCAATTTCGAATGTCATAATTAAACATTACCGAGTGTACATTTACTCCATAAAAAATATCAGAATTCATATAATGTCATTAGAATCGGTTTGGCTCTGATACCACCGTTAGGAATTTGATGAAATGTACCTCGAAAGTACATCAGCGGAAATTTAAAATTTTCCCAAACAGATCTTCCCTGATTATGACAAAACAACGAATATGATAATAATAAAAGATCTGAGTTAGAACTTACAAATCTTCCAGTCTAGCGGTGATAATCCTTGAACTTAGGTATCCACGTGATTTCTCCTTTCCGAAAGAGCGGTTAGATCTCCCATAGAGAAAGGCAAGGAAATCTCTTCGCAAGGAAATAAACTGATAATACTGAATCTCGAAAACTGGTCTATGAATTATGAAGGGGGTGTATTTATACTAGTTCTAAACTACTTTTCCAATCACAGTGAAAATATTTCTGATTAATGAATTCTAGTCCAACTAGGTCCAATAGTCATTAATGTACAATTAAATAAAGGAAATAAATAAAATATTAAATATCAAAGTTGAATTAGATGGGCTGCATGCCACATCCTAATTCAAACTTCAGTATGTTTATATTTTATATTATTTTGGCTTTTACTTTGAATTAAAAGTGTACCAAAATATATCAACTTTATTTAATTATAAATACATCTTAATAAATCTTATTTATCACACTTAATTAATTCTATCAAATAGAACTCTTCTTCAACTTCATGAATTAAATAAGTTTAATCTAATTAATATTTAATCCATTAATATTTTATATTATTTTGGCTTTTACTTTGAATTAAAAGTGTACCAAAATATATCAACTTTATTTAATTATAAATACATCTTAATAAATCTTATTTATCACACTTAATTAATTCTATCAAATATAACTCTCCTTCAACTTCATGAATTAAATATGTTTAATCTAATTAATATTTAAGTATAATAAATCTTATTTATCACACTTAATTAATTATATCAAATAGAACTCTCATTCAACTTCATGAATTAAATATGTTTAATCTAATTAATATTTAATCCATTTTCAGTATTACTAATTAAATATTATTTAATCCAATTAATAATATTTAATTCCTTCTAACAATTCATTCGGAAGGTATAATCACTTGTAGTGTGACCCATAGGGCCTTATATATTAAGCATTAATCAAATTAAGGTCTTAGTAGAATCCCTAGACGATTTATCAGACAAACTTAATATATAAGGACGTTTGCGAGGACTATTCAATCTCCCTGTAATATAGAGCTCATAGTGATACGGTTCTTTCATTCAACGAACATTCAACTAAGTCTAGAACATGATATTGTGTCTATTCCAATAACTAAGTTTCTGCCTCTCAATCGTTCTAGATGATCCATAACGATCATATTTGATATCCAAAACGAATATATCTTTGCATTGGCCAATGACTTTATGATCCATCTAGATATGAAAAGTAGAATGTTCCCTCTTAATCTATTATGAGGAATGAATCCTTTCTTGGCTCAACTACTACTCCATGTGCTTCGTGATGCACCCAACACATGCTGTATCTACCCCGATTGGAGTGCAAGCGTTGGTCATGGTCAAAGTACATCACTCAGCACATGTAGTACGTATTGACCTCAAGTCGGAGGACTACTACACTATATGCCGATAATCCCATAGACACATGAATAGAACATATCAAATGATTTCTCGGTGGGTATGCCAATATTCTCCAAAATATCTATGTGACCATCATGAATTACATGAACTCATAGATCAACTATACTTTCTAAAAGTATGATGCAGTCCACATACCTATCTTATCGTATATCATCAATATCCCATTCTTGAT